GTGAGTGGTGGACTTACAGCCAACTCAAGAGCACACCTAAATGATTAGAGCAACATTTAACACTCTTAAATGGCAAAATAAACACATTTAGCATTGAAGCAACAACAGCAGAAAACAACAGCATGTGTCCAGCCTAAGTATGAAGTGGGCATAAGTCAAAATCATCATCTCATCATAGATGTAAACACTCTCTGGGCTTTAGTGTGTGTTACTGGTCAATTATCTTTCAGTCACTCTTAAGAATGAATTTAGATGTATCTCTAATGGGGTGAAGGGTTACAACTGACTTGAGGTAAAACAGCCATAGAAATATTAAATGACAGCAAATGTAATGAAGTGGTAGTTGTTTCAGAAAGACAAGTTGCTTTCAACAATTTTTGCTTGAAGTCCCAAATGTTTATTTTAGGCATATATGTATATATATATATATATATATATATATATATATATATATATATATATATATATATATATATATATATATTCAAAGAGGGAATGTTACCCAGTTTTTCTTGTAAAGTAGAATAACACATTGTTTTGGACACCTATTTTTGTGAAACACATACAGAGGAAAACACCTGCATGTCATGGTTCCTCCTCCACCACTTATTTGTCCTGGAATCTATCTACTTGGATGGAAATCAATTAGTGTATATGGCCTTGCCTGCTCTTATTGATTCAGATCAGTAGTACATAAATGCAATAAAGACGATGTGTCCAGCTGCAACAAAACATTCTCAATGAGCAGGATAATATTTTTATTATTGTTGTGTAAGTTATTCTATTCTTTGCCTCTGAACGGCTGCCAAAAGGGCCAGTTATACAAAAAAGGTAACGAGGCAGGGCAACAGCGCGACTGAATGCTGGCCTTGTTCGCCTTATTATCGGGTTAATTAAAGCTAGAATCTGACAATGTCACCCGCTTGTAGAAAAACGGATTTAAATGCAATGTCTCTGGAGACTGTGTCAAGGGCTGCCTTTCATAGAGCTCCTGTGTGCGCCCGAGTTTGGGGACAGCCTCCATATATGCTTGGAAATGACGGAAAGCAATTATTGAATTTTAGATGTTCAAAAGGAATGAATGGGGAGGAATTATTCATAAGATCTTGTCCATGTGCGTTGAAATTAAAGTTAAAATACAAAGAGGGAGACGCTCCAAAGACAAGCCCACTGCTGATGGATAAATAGGCGAGATCATTTCTGAGGAGTTCATTAAAATGTAGGGCTACACACTGAAATACAGAGGGTTGTTATTTGGGCTTGGGGGTCAAGTGACGAGCGGATTATATACTTCCTCATAATAATATTAATTAAACAATTTGCATGCTAATAGGGTAACAATTATCGCAGCTTCTGTTGAGAGATTCAGGTTATTACAACATGCCAATCCGGGTGCCAAGGGTCAGGGAATGAGTGGGGTGCGAAATTTCAACTCTGATTAACATTATGACAGCGCCAGACTTGGGATAAATAAAGTCGAATTAATTATTTGAAAACCTAATGAGCAGATAGGATTTAGGCTAGTCACATATTGAGTGCAGGGGGCTGCACAAGTGGAGCAGCTTTCCAATTTTGTTTCCTGAGTCCTGGCAGGAAATGTTGTGAATTCCTGTAATGTACACATGAGCATGGTATTTTGTGGCTCTTTTATTCTTTTATATTAAATTCTATTGTCATTGTTCTTTCAGAATTGAAGCCTTCCTTTATTTGGTCATATATTTTGTTCATAACCCAGCGTTGGTCGTAACTGAAGCGTTCGCCCTGTAACAGTAAAATATTATAGTTTTACCTTCGCCTTGTGCCTCCTGCAATATCTCAGCTCCCCTTTAAATACACCCATATTTCAGCAGCCACCCTATTTTTTTTTACACCCTGCACTGTAAAGGTTTCGTGTATATAAATGATGATCCATAACCAGCATGGGGGTTTACTCAGTGGTTCCCAAAGTGGGGCTCAGGGACAAAAAGGGGTCCCACTGTCCAAAGAAGGTTGCAGCCATGCCTGGGAAAAGAAATATTTCATTCAACAATATACTATTAGTTATTATTGTAGTTTCCCAATATTTGATCAGCTTTCTCTTCTTTCTGCTGCATATATATATATATATATATATATATATATATATATATATATATATATAAATATATATATATATATATATATATATATATAGAGAGAGAGAGAGAGAGAGAGAGCCTTTTTTATTGTCTAATTTGGTCTAATATCCGTCTATTTGCAGGTCCTCCACCGAGCAAAAAGTCCGGGAGCCTCTGCCTAACCTATCCGCCTGTAGCCTTTTCTTCCCGGGATTCAGTAAGCCCTTCCTCCCGGTGGGTCCCCCGTGTAGTTGCGATGTAGTTCTTATCAAAGCCCCCCTGTCTTGTTGTGACAGCTCTGATATTGTTTATTGAGGTGGATGTCAGCTTTAATTAGCAATCGATACGGGGAGCGTTTGCAGAGCGCGCCTCTGACGTCAGCCTCCATTACCGCTTCTCATTGGGTCTCATATTCCCAGAGCCTGGGCTAATTATTGGGAGGTTCATGTGGATAAAGTACAGCTCATCCCTCCCTTCACATCATGTCCCCTACTCGTTGGCCACACTCACTGCATGCTTTTTAAATTCCCATCACCGGCCTCTAGACGTCGTTTCCTTTTGCCTGCGGGATGATGGACAGCAGGATACTGGATCCACCTCACGCCCAGTTCGGAGGCTCTCTCGGCGGGATGGTGGGCTTCCCGTACCATCTGAGCCACCATCATGTTTACGAATTAGCTGGGCATCAACTTCAATCTGCGTCCGCGGTTCCTTTCTCAATAGACGGATTACTTAATGGTTCCTGCACGGCTTCAGTGGGCAGTTCCAACCCTCTCTTGTCTTCGGGCTGCGGGATGAATGGCGATAATCAGCACTACAAACTGACAGGTAAGCCACATTACATACTACACAATAACCTCTCCTCTAGGTTGGTTGTACAGAGACCAAAACAGAAAGAAACAAAGACAGGATATTGCGATACAAGTTATCCTCATGGTGGTTTGTTTTAAAGGGCAAGCCACACACTCAAGGCAGAGAGGAGTGTTCTTCGCCTCCCTACTTCATTTCCATCTCCGAAAGCTGTAGATGCACCCAAGCAAAAAGCAATGTTCCTGTCAGTTAGTAAATACTAGAGCAAGAAAATGCCCGTGTTAACATCTAACGGTTTCCTCGATTCAGAAAAGGCGACAGACCTGATAGAAGCTGCAGGCTGCATGTGTGTTAGACTGCAACATTTTCAAATGCAATCACCTTCTTCGGCCTTAAAGTTTGCAGAATTCTTTGCATATGCATGGAACCAGTCCTGTTAGAATTGTGTTTAAATGTGGTAATTTAAAATAGGCCCATATACATTTATAGCCTATATTTATCCTTTGTTTACATGTATTCTTGTTCTGCTGTCAGACTCGGGGGACCCAGACAAAGATAGCCCTGGTTGCAAGAGACGGAGAACTCGCACAAATTTCACTGGTTGGCAGCTGGAGGAATTAGAAAAGGCTTTTAATGAGAGCCACTATCCCGACGTTTTCATGAGGGAGGCACTGGCTCTCCGATTGGACTTAATAGAATCAAGGGTTCAGGTAAATATTTATTTTTGTTAATTTAAAGATATGTTTAGCTGTTATTTTAATCGTATGTGTGTGTGTCTCTATCCCTTTGTTTATAATATGGCAAATGCTGCAGTGTGTCTGTATTATGGTCCAAACTGCTTGTGGAATAAGTAGCATAGTTCAATCTGTGTCATAATATATACCTTTTAATATATATATTTTAAATAATTAATAGTAGGCTACCCACTGCATGGATGTGTGTTGTTTGACCTTTCATTGCTTATGTTATAGCCTAATATAAATCAATTCTAATTTCACCTTTATTAAATAAATTATGGAGCCTTTCATGCCAATTGATATTTACTCTTTTTTTTATTTAATAAAATAATAATAAAATATATTTTCGTATTTGTCAAATAAAACTACTGACAATCTTGGATAAACACAGGCCACATATATCCAGTGAACCTCAATTAGTTTGATTGCGTGACTGAATATACCAAACTATTTTATTTGATTATAAGACTATTTTTGTTTATGAAAATTAAACTTGCAATGACTAAGTGTAGGCTAAATGCAGAGTTTACATATGAAAACAGATATTATTAAGAGCTGTAAACCATACCTATACTCTAACTATCCTGTAAATGTAAAGTTTCTTTTGTTAGGCTTCATCCCAACTTTTTGTTGGCTTGTCTGTGCACAGATTGTTTTTTAATCAGAGGCCTAATTAAAGGCCTGCATATAAACAACAAGAGCATGATATAACCTCATTGCTTGTTTAATTATCATATTATTAAATCCCCGACAATAAATTCCCCCATTGCAGTGACAGAAGTGCACTTGACACACGTTTTCACTTTTCCCCTCTGCAGGTATGGTTTCAGAATCGCAGAGCCAAATGGAGGAAAAAGGAGAACACAAAGAAAGGTCCGGGTCGACCTGCTCACAACGCCCACCCCACCACCTGCAGCGGGGAGCCCATGGACCCCGAGGAGATCGCCAGGAGAGAGCTGGACAGGATAGAGAAGAAGAAACGAAAGCAGGAGAGACGGCTGCTCAAGTCCCAGAACAAGCTCCTACATGGGGATTTATTTCACACGCCGGGATCAGACAGCGACAGCGGGGTGTCGCATGTGACCGACAGTGACCACACCACAGGCCCGCCTTTTGACTCTGTGGGAGGAAACCAAACGCAATCTAGCTGCGACCAAACACCTCACCCTCTCCAATCCCAAAACCAGAACCAAAGACACTTGGACCGGGATGCTGGCGGATCCGAGCTGGACTCGTCAGACGCCAGCCACCGGTCAAGCCTGTGCTCCAACAACAACAGAGCCTCCGGCGTGCAGAAACTCAACCCTTTTAGCGTCGAAAGCCTCCTTTCGGACTCCAGACCTAGACGCAACCCCGCGGCCTTACCCTCCTCACGGCCTTTGATAGGGAAAGGACACTTCCTTCTCTATCCCATCACACAGCCGCTTGGATTCATTGTTCCTCAAACTGCTCTGAAGACAACAACAGCAGTGAACTCTGACTGTGACACCCCAGCGGAGAGAAACCAGCCCAGTGTCCGCTGCAGCGTCTCTGCGGAATGTAGGAGCAGCTCGCCGGACTCTGCAGACGCCACACAAAAGGGACAAGTGGGATCAGAGGAAAAGACACGTTCACCGCACACCAGCCCGTCCAGGGCCGCCTTTCCCACTGGCAAAAGTACTCAGACCTCTGTTATTTGCAGCGATTCGACTTTCGCCCATGAACACAGTCCACAGCTCATCAAGGCTGTTGATGCAGACAGAAACGAGCATTTAGAGAAAAAGGACCACCCTGACAACCCCCAGTCTGTCCACAGTGACTGTCCAGCAGAAACAATGACAGATTCTAAAGAAGATGTCAACTTGGAATAAATCATTGGGGGTAAACAAAAATCAACAAAAAAGAAAACAAGCAGAAACATACTGATATAGCCTCTAAACGACACCTTTCATTAGGCCAAAGCTTTACCAGAAACTACATCTTTGCATCTAATCTCTAGGTTTCCCCACTCTGCTGATATTTCACAATGGTTTGCTCTCTCTCCTCTCTCTCTCTCTCTCTCTCTCTCTCTCTCTCTCTCTGTCTGTCCTCTCTCTCTCTGTGTCTCTCTGCGAGTGTGTATGTGTGTATGTCAGGAGTCAGGAGTCTCTAGATATCCTTTAATGTGTGATAACTTGTCAAAAAAAAAACAACAACACAAGACCACGAGACCAACAAAAATCCTCAAGAGCTGTAAAAAGGTATTATACTATTTATATATGTAAGGTTTTTCTTAAATAAATCTATTGTATACAAGCACCTCAAACCGTGTGAGACCTTAAATAGCAGCACATACAGAGCAGGACTACAGTACAGTAGGAAGGGCTTTCTTAAGAAATCTCATGTTGTACTTTGTATATTGCCTTAACAAATTTATTCATCTATAAGCCCCCACTGAAATGAGGTTACGAGCCTGAGGCGAAAAGGACCCGCTCGACTCCTGCAGAGTTTTGATATGAAAGTAATTATTTTCCCGGTGGCTACTGCAGGGGGATTCAGTTTATTTTAGCTCAAAGGGGGTTATAATACATTACCGATTTCTAGTGATATGAAATCACATAAACTTCCAAGAATAATAGAATTAGCATGAAAAGGCCTGGGTGTCAAATTGAAATAGGAAAATAATAGCCCCGGCAGCTGGGAGTGTGTGTGTTTGTGCATATTGGATAGGAGATGGGGATTCGTGGGGAGGCATTTTCATGAGCTTTTTTTTTTCTTCTTTTTCTCCCTCTCTCTCCACTTTGTCGGGGCCCCTTGTAGCAGGGCTATATTAAGATAGATGTTCGATGATATCCCTCATTGTTCTGTCGCTTTACATTGATGTTTCTGTGTTATCAGCCTATTGATCATGCGTCGGCTGTAATAGGACGGGCTGAGGCAAACGTGCCTATTTACAATAGCAGAACACATTTGTTCTAATAGGGTTGGTGGTCCCCAGGGAAGCCATGCGGGATCTGGGACATCTGCTCCCTTTTGCAATATTAGCAGTGTTGACCACAATATCACGTCGACCCATAGGAAGAAATGTCAAGGCTGCTGTGTGGCGTGTAATAGCATATTAAAAAAAAATCTTAAAACAAAACAAATACATCCAGCCCAGCTATAGCTGCTCATACCCTTGTTAAAACCCACAAGCCCTTTAGTGTTCTCTTTGGGTCTTGATTTGCAAATAAATTGAAAATAATCAGAGGGGTGCGCTTTACGTCTGAGCCGGCGCAAATGAATTTCTGAGCCAGTGTCCCTTTCAAAATATTTACATAAATTTCAACCCATGCAGCTGTTTGCTCTAGGAAGCAATGTCTTATTAGGTTGGTGGGAGGGTTGTGAGGGGCGGGGGGGGGGGGGGGGTTAGACGACACAGCCAACATGGCACACACACAGTGAACATGCAGAAGATCAGGCCTGTATCATTTGGTAGTTCAGAGGTGTGTTCTCTGTGAATGCATGGTTCTTGTATGCTGAGATTATAGAGCTGATTGTGTTTTAAGGAGTTTTTTTTTATTTATTTGCATGTATTTATTTATTTTATCTTCCATGATATCACTATAACTTTTTTCGATCATATTTTAGTCAGTTTACAAGGATCTTGTATTTTTAGCCTTCTATTAATTGAAGTGTTGAAGGAGCTTGCAGCTTTGAAATATTATCATAAATTGTATTACAAGGTTACAATAGCCTGAATGTTGCCACTAGTAAATCGGTAGGCCTAATATTCTGACACAATTCAAGACGGATAAATTCATAGGTTGTCCATTCTTGAAAAACCTAGAGATACAAGGTTTGTTTACGAAAATGTGGGATAACCGGAGCCAATTTGACATAACCTCTAAGATTCTTCGGTGTGTATTTCTCCATACTGCTCTTAGGCTATTTGGGACGTATGCCCAGTTCATCCATAATTCATTAGCACACTGAATAGGAGTATCGCTGGCTGCACATTGGTGGCCTTAAGGTGAAATTAGCGATTTGCTTAAGTAGTTAAGCTTTTCTTGCCTGAGAGCTGCACGCTGCATGATTCAAGACAAACTATCAATCGATATGCCCAGGCAGCCTCCAGGAGATGTGTCGTCCATGAATCATACTTTATGAATTCAATTTATACCCGGAGAAATTTTCAATTTGAACGCCGGATCATTATGGGAGAGTGTAAATTGTTTTTGCTCTATTATGCATCGGACGCCATCATTTTTCTTTCTAATTACGGAGGTGTCAGGTCGGGCTGTCATGCAGACGCTGATTTTCAATTTAACTGATCATCATGCATTCATTTTCCCATTTGATAAATCTGCTATCTCGGAGCTTCTCCATGCCCGGAATGCTAAAAGAGAGGCACAGATTGGCAAAGTAATAGGGGCCTGTATGCGGCAATAAGTGCAGATCAGGCAGCTAATTTAGCACCTCCTGGTATTTTCATTTCCATTTCTCATTTCCAACTCTCAAAGGAGGAAAAGCAGCCCAAAGGCAGAAAGCTGGTAGGCTTTTCACTATCGGAGAAAGACAGAGAAAAAAATCTACCAGAACGCTTGTTTTCAACCACACATTTCCTAAATTAGGATATCAAGCTTAATTAAGGCTAATAGAGTTTTCTCAGTATGTGTTAGTTTTATTTAATAGAAACAAATTTGCACAATTAATTATGGCTATGATATTAGGGGTCTCATTTGCAGCATTCGAACTGCAGTCGCAATCAGCGTCTTCAGAAATAAGCCTCTCATTTCCTAACCAAATGACTAACCAAATGTTTTTATAAGAGCTTTCATCACAGACATCGTATTGGTTTATTTCCCATATTATATCCAAGTAAACTAAGTCAGATTACACATAAACTGAACTTTTTTAGCCTACTTCTCCGGGTGACTGAAATAAATGCAATTTTGTACTGTCATTGCTGACAAATTGTACGATTTTGCGTTTTGAATTTTAGATTTTTCACTAAAACTGTGTAGAACCTCAACTTTATGCAACACTTAACACACAAAAAATATGTTTTCTCTTTGGTCATCACGTTAAGTATCAATTTAAGCTACTGCATTATTTCTCTACCACACACCTCATTTGACACAAATGAATGACTTTTTAAATAACTGTGACAGGGAAGGATTTTTACAAGTTTCATGCCCAAATCAACTCCAGTGGACAGCTTGTGTTCTCGCCACAAATCCGTCTGTCTGTACAGGCTACTCTTGTGCGCTGTGTTGCTGTACGAGATCTAGAGGCTTGGATAAGAAAGAACCGTGTCACTTTAAAAAGGATCCTCCATAAAATAAAATGGCACTTGACATTTGGCTTCTCCTGCAGCAACTCTGCCATGCCTTTTAGGATTATTATACATCTACATACTCATTAATGCGCCGGTGGATTTAATCAGTCTTATCTTCCCTGCGCATACCTGGGATAAGCCTGAAATTACCATCTGCATTGATTTCTGGACGATCCTTAAAATAATTTTAATTATCTCAGAGTATTTCGCGAAAAATCCCTCTAATCAAAGTTTAGTTAATAACACTTGAACATTCGCAGCTGAAAAACACAGAGGCCTAACTCAAATTTAGGTGAATTTAAAGATTCATTAAAATGCTACAGTGTCTTTGCTAAATAAGATGAAGTGACCATATGACCCATTTTTCAGCTGCACTTTAACTTTGTCTGTTTTCCCCCCCTAAAAAATCAAGCCCTTTTGTGAGGTTGATGATTTTCACACTAGAGCTAAACTCAGACAGTAGCTATGAAATATGTATTTTCAGTTTACTCAGAGCATTTTATTTAAAAGTTATCATCCACTCTGGATAGCTGAATTAAAAGATGGATATAAAGAGGATAAAATGTCAGAACTATATGCTGTAGCAAAACACTGCTGCATGATATCATAACTCCTATGGGGTTTTTATTTTCTTTAAGAGATGTTTCCATGATGTTTGTACTGAGTAAATCTCCTAATGAAAACAATTCAGAATACATGGCATATTTTCGAAAAACACATGGCATACAAAGAAAATGGGGGAAAATGAGAAAAGCGTGCATTTTCATGCAATGTTGGTCTGTATTGAGTTATGAGCAAATCCTTTTTCTGTCTTGGTATCAGAGTTAGTGCTATGGTGACATAATTATCATGACAATATAAATGTCAGCTTTCTGATAAACAAAATATCCCAAATTACCTTCCTCAAAAGAGTAGTAGAAGTTTTTACACTTTACAAACAGCAAACGAAAGTACAGTAAAATAGAAAGTACAGCAGCAATGACAAAAGAATCTTTATATTTCGAGAGGCTGATACTCATCAACAGTAGATACTACACTTATAGTCAGAGATTTTTCCTTTAAAAAAAAAAATGTTCTGTTTCTTCTGTGAGGGGAGTGGCCTACAAAACATAAGCTTGAATGTAAAAGTTGGAGGACTACGGCTATAACAATAAATGAAAATAATACAAAAGAAAATGTCTGGCAGTGACCAATCAAACGATTATAACCATCTTTTACTTAGAAGTTACTCTGCACACTGCAGAAGAATGAAAAGGTGCAGTCAGTTTTCTTAAGTGCAATAAAATTAGTGCAATAACACAGCGTTTCCCTCTTCCTTTTAAAAAATGCCTTTCTCATAAAATATTGCACATTTATTCATTATGCCGACTCTATGTTGTCTTCGAATAGCTGAAGGTAAGGATTAGATATTAGACTCCTCTTCAAAATAAGAGGACTTGCATGATGATGTGAGAGGTGACAGGAGTCAGAATGGTCACACCTGTAACTATCTGTCTGGCCTCATTATCTAAAGTGACCTGTATTGGGCTTTTGGATTACACAACCTAACAATTCATAGGACAATGAAAACATAAGAAAAAGCAGATAACGATTTAAACATTGTATAGGGATAAAAGGATCTTCTTATAAGGCATTGTTGGACATGAATTTTAAGGCAAATGAACAATTGCTTTCCTTCACCTAATTTTCTTTGGTACTTAACCTTGACAGCTTCCTTCTTCCAAAAAGCCACATTGAAGTCATCATGTATAAAACTGTGGGTGCGCTATGAAGTGATATTTTGAGCAAGTCGGAAGTTCTACCACAGCCTCCAAAAGAGGAACACTTTGACAGCACCCAGCATGTAATGGATATCAAAGCTGGTGCAATCTTACTAAATGGGGGTTGCATACTGACTCAACTCCCAGGTGAGTTTAAAACATCAGCCCACATCTCGATACGTAAATAAACCAAATAACCAAACCTGTGTGGTGAGTCGAAATGCCCTTTTT